GCAGTCTTGGAAATATGTTAATGTAAAGGAGCTTGAGTGTACTTGGTCAATACCATCTCATTATACACATCAACCCTACATTATAATTAACAAAGGTGGAGTGTTTAATAGTAGTTTAGAGTTTCAAAAAGCTTTATGCATATTTGCATAGTTCTAAAACATTACTAGAAGATGATCATGTTGCAATTATTTTGTTATTCAAGTGGAAGAATTTAGTTGGTTATACTATTTGGTGGGCTCTAAAGCTTTCTCAAGTTTATCTCCTATTCTTAATGATTTGGTTATTTTAGCTAATGGACTTTTTTGAGGATTTTGTGACATTGGCAATTGTTGTACGTGATGTTTAATGTTCACAAAGTTTACCTTCTATTGATAAGGTTTATGAAGTTTAAAAGATTAAACTATGGATCTAAAGGCTTCGTGAGGGGTTGCATCACTTGCTAATGAGTTGCTATTTTGGCATTTATATTCTTAATATAATCTTGAGAAATACTTTCTTTATTTTATTGGGAATGATCTTAATGATCATTTATAGTTGATGGTGACTTCAATATTTTATTATGACTCTTTTATTCTAGATGGGCATATAGGACATCAATGTGTGACTGAGAAGTTATGTAAGTCTTTCTATTAACTAAAAATGCAACATGATATTATCTAATATGTGCATAGTTGTGTTTAGTGCCAAGTTTATAATACTCCCCTTTATGTTGCAAAAGGATGGTTAAAATGTAATTTCCTATCTATTTAAGTTTGTGGCATTTTATTTGATAGGGCTTTTTCCATATTCCATTGTACGTCATTATTGCTTCCAACTACTAACTCGCTACATGGAAGTTGGTGCTTTTGCTAGCGTGACATTGACTACTGTTAGGTAATTCCTCCTTAATTAAGTGGTATTCCAACATTCCTATCTAGAGTGGATTCTCTTGGATGGTGGTTCTATATTTATGGTTAATATTTTTTATATTTTAACATTTTAACTGGGGATACACCACACTTTCATGAGTGCTTAGATAAATGGCTTGGTGGAATGGTTTGTTCAGACCTTCAAAGGGATGATCATAAAATACATGAACTTTTAACATTCAAATTGGGATGGTTATTTGCCGTTTCTTCAGTATGGGTATGTCATAGAGGTATAACGTTTTGTTGGTACTTAACCATATAAACTCAAATGTGATCATGATTCAATATTGCTAACAAAGTTGAGTTTTCCTTCATGATTACCATGAACTATCGATGCTAAATCTTGGGATTAATATTTAACAAGTATTTTTTCACTTGCCTGAGTAGAGTTTGTTGAACACTTGGGCCATATACAAGTGAGACAACAATGGTGCTACAACTCCTATCATCATTCACATGTGGAGTACAAAGTAAATGATTTAGTGTTACTTATATGGTTTGTTAAACAAACTCTTTATTCAATGGAAGGGACCATATTAGGTATTATCTCAAGTTGAACTGCAAGTTTATAAGGTTTGGTATAACATCCAACAAATCAATTCTCTAAAAATTATATATGTGCAATGGCTAAAATGCTTCCTAACAACTGATACCACCTACATATTCCAAGAGAAGAGAATGATGTAAGGTCAAAGTGTATGGATATGATGCTATATACAATATTGGCATAGTGAGATTTTAATAGCTGTCAGGTTGATTTTAATTTAGAACTCACTTTATATATAAATTAGGGTTTTTGGGCTAATTAATATGCATATTTCTGTATTCCATTCTATATTCCACACAATATAATCAATATATAAAGAGAATATTATATTATATTTTACTTTTATATTATTATATGAATGAATATATTATTAGAGTGGATTTGAAGTGGAGCCACAAATGTCACTCCAATTCCACTCTATTATGACTTGAATTTCAGATACTTTAAAAAGAAAAAATGAATGAAACACTAAAATTCAATTGTCATTGTTAAGTGCTAACTTTAACTTTGTTGTCAACATGGGTCAAAAAGAACTCTAAACTTAGGGTAAAGGTTAACCTATCTAAGAGTGGTAGCATAATGGAAATTTTAAGGTAGCTCATGAGTAATTGGGTGGTGAAAAACATTAGGAGAAGGTGTAATATAATCTAGGAAGACTAAGTCTTTTAACATTGGTATCAAAGAGAGGTCATTGTGATGGCTGACCAAAATGAATGCTAGAATTTTATTATCAATAGTGGTGCTAATGATGGTGTTGATGGAGTTGTAAAGGTTTAGATTATTCAAAATGTTATTCATGAGTTGTAAGCCTTTAATCAAAATCAGCAAAAGATGCAAGACAAGATGATGGATATCATGTATAGGCATGTTGAGGCACTTAAAGTTAAATGTGGTGGCACTCTAAGTAAGATTTCCTTGATGGATCGACTTAAAATTCCAATTTTTTCTAGTGATAGTGGTGTGGACGAGTGTTTAACTTAATTAGACAATGTGAAGAAGTTTTTAATTGCTAAGGGAACTCTATATTCAAAAACTTTAATGATTATTTTAATGGTTTTACGTGATATGGGTTTTCAATGGTGGAATTGTTTAAGGAGTCTTATGTTGTGGATAAAAAACCACTAATGTCTAACATAGATGAGTTTGAGGTTGTTTTTTGTTTATGTTTTGCCCTTTATTACAATGTAGAGAATGCTCGCATGGAACTTCAATATTTTTAGCAAAGGAAAATGATACTTAAGGATTATATTGAGAAGTTTATTCACTTAATTAGTTATATTCCAACAAAGGATCCATATCAAAACAAATTCTACTTCATTAATATCTTTCATAGTGAGAGCATATGGCAATATTTGCATCATTCTCAACTTATAAAGAATTTGCAGAAGTTATTTGATATGGCTCGACTTGACAATAATAAATATAAGTCTTCTAAGCATTTGAGAAGTCTTTATGTTGAGAATTGTCATGATGATCATTATGGATACAAAGATGGAAACAAACATCATAAACTGAAGTGTATGATGGTTATCTCAAATACAAAAGGGTGGAAGAAGTAGAAGTTCTTTATAAAGAATTATAAACAAAGTTGTCATTATTGCAGTAAGGTTGGACACTACAAGGTTGCTTATCCATAGCTAAAGAACAAGTAATAAAGCAAAAAAAATGGCTAATTTTCTAATGATGGCAAGTTGAATATTAAGAAGTTGTAAAATTTGTAATGTGAGAATGACAAAGAAGATTATTTTGGTCGGAGAAAAAGGCTTTTGATCATTGCTCATCAACTAAACTATGTGTGGAATAAAATGAATTTTAAGGATATTTATTCATCAACATTAATGTTTGAAGGTGTATTTCATGAAGGTTCAATATAGATTTTATTGGATAATAGGAGGGATGATAACTTTGTTTTAACAAAGTTTGTTGAGAAGTACAACTTGGTGATATAAGGACTTCTTCCATCTAGTACTTTATATTATTGATCCATTAAAACTTTATAAAAAGGTTTTTTTTTTAATTTGGTTTGCTAAAGGATATTGTCAATGATTGAGACTCAAAGTTCATCAATAGATTTTGGAAAAACTTTGCAAAAACTATATAAGTGACTTTGAAGCTCTCAAGTGGAAATTATCTTCAAACAGATGAGCAAATTAAACATGTGAATTAGGTGGTGAATGATATGCTACAATTTTATTTGTCTGTATTTTTTTTAATTTTTGAAACATTATTTTCATTTAACATAAAGATTTTACTAGTTATTTTCTTGTCCAAATATTTTGATTATGTATACTCTGAATATTCTGATTCTTTTTCTATTATAAATATTGGTAATGATTTGGTTTTCAGTCAATATATAGCATCTTAGCCTACATCATGGTTATTGCGCACTTCCCATTTTTTATGGCACTTAAAATCTAGATTGATTTGTATTTTTGGTTTTATTTTATATGCTAACTTTGAGCACTGGAAATTTTTTGAGCTCACTTTACTGCTGGAACTCTTCAGAATAGTACTTTTATTAACACTTCATTCCATCCCTTTTGTATTGCTGTTTGGATATAACTTACGGTGAGATAGAAACCCTAAGCAAATTGGAAACAGGCATATTCAGAGTTTTTGGAACAAATGATAGTTGCTGGAATGATCTTTTCACCAGGGGACTTTCAACATACTCTTCCTTTGGCATATACTACCATAGTTACTAATCTTATGATAAATGATCAACATGCTTTTGAAATTGCTTTTACTACAGTTTGTAATTAAAATTGTTGTTTTCTTCAGTACTAACACTTTATGTTTCCAATAAACAATTCCCATGGTCACTTTGACATTAGTTGTGTGATCTAGTCATATAGCATATTTTTGCCAACAGCTTGAACATTGGAACTCCAATGTTCATGATTCCTGGACTATATTTAAAATGTCTGATAAGAACTTATTAATGGCAATGCAAGCCAATATGCCTGAATACACTTTAGTATACTCCACCAAACAAAATCCGGCTCAATTATGCTATGGGCTTCAATGAACTGAAACACCTATTGCCACCATATCTCTACGTTTCTTTCCAAGTGAGCATTAATAATCTAAGCATATCTTTTATTTGTTGCAATGGTAGCCCAATGCCATGCAGAACTGAATCCTCAGCAGTCAGATCAGCATTCCCGTGTATCAACCATGTCCCTCGGATTCCAGCCAAGAATGCGAGAGAAGAACTTCAGGACAAGCGAGAAAACCTCAGCATACACGAAACAAAAGGTTCCAAGACGCGAAAATGCAGAGAAATCGCATTCGTCCAGCGAGAAAAACCTCGGGACAAGGAGAAAGTCTCGATATTTCTACCAAGACGCAAGAATGGAAATGGAGGTGAAATCCTACCTGAATCTAGCGAAGCCGCATCAATTTCCACAAAGATCGACCAGATTTCGAGCTTCGCTTCGGCGCCTGGTCGATCCATCAGCGCTCGTTGGGAGGGAAGTATCCAGTCGCCAGCTTAATCTCCGGTTGAGCCAACCCTAACTCTCTCTCTCCAAGAACCCTAAATAAAACCCCAGGGTTTTTTAGCTCCTCTTCGTCATGAGCATGGCGGCTCGGTTGCTCGCCAGGCGAACCAGCGCAATGCCGCCGGGGCTCGTCATCGCCAGAGGTATGGCCGTAGCTAGCAATCAGGAGAATGCGGCGGCGGCGGAGGAGTCGCTCAAGAGCTCGTGGTTCCAGAGGATCAAGGGCCTCTTCGTCCGTGACAAGCCAGCGGAATCAAAGCCGATGGAAGAATCGAAGCCACCGCTGCGAGCATCCATCGAGCAAGCGTCCAAGCCTTCCGAGAGTATCGCTTCTAAGATTGTCAACACTGTGAAATCGGCTGTAGCTCCAAGCGTCTATTCTATGGAAGGTAAGCTCTCTCTTTTTTTTCTTCGCTTGTTCATCGTTCTCTTTACTTCTCTTCCAGCCTTTGCTGACGAGCTCAAGAAGGCCCGGTACGCTGGCTCTCTTGTCAAGGGCGCTTCCAAAGAACAAATCTCCGCTATTCTCGAGAAGCAAGAGAAGATGATCCGAGCTCTAGCCACTTACAAAACAGAAGTAAGCTCTCTCCACTCTCTTTCCTGATCGATGAAGCTTTCTTCTTTCTTGCGTTGCTGTGTTCTAAAGCTGCAAGCTAGTAGTCAGTGAAGCTTGCGTGATCAAGTTTCTTGCTCTACCTCTTCCATCTTTTGCCTGGTTTTGTTTGAAGCAAGGGACAAATCACTGGCTTGCTTGATCAAGTTTCTTGCTCTACCTCTTCCAGTTTTTGCCTGGTTTTGTTTGAAGCAATGTAGTCTGATTTCCAGGTATACAGATATAAACAATGGTGTGTTGGGTGGGGATTCAGCAAATTGGAGCATCGCAGGTGGCCGAAGTAGCAGTGAAATGTAAAGCCCGAGCTGAGGAGGTGGAGGACATTCTCTCCAAGTACAAGTGGACCAAAGAAGCTCACAGCAAGGTGGAGAAGCTGAGAAAGGAAGGGAAGCCTCTCCCAAAGAGTTTTGATGAAGTAAGAGTTTCTCTCCTTTGCGATGAACTGTGTGACTGTCTTGACAAATGTTTTGGCCTTTCAAGGTGGAGGCCCTTATGGGTGGACGATGGAAATCGCCCAAGAGCGTCCCTATACTCAGTCGAAACCAGCTGTGCTCTTGCGGCTCTGGGAAGAAATACAAGCGGTATGGCTGTTCTTTGTGTTCTTCTCGCTGTAAACGGCCCAACTTTCAGGTGTTGTGGACAGACCGCAAGCATCTAGAACCGAATTTTCGCCATAGTTCTCCAGTATATTTCACGAATATGAAAAAAAAACACTGCAAAGTAGATTTATCAGAGAGTTTTTTTGGTTAACTCCCAAAAATAAAATAATTACTTAACGAATTTCATAATGTAATTCTAAACAATGTTATAAATGATCGAAGGGACCGTTAGCTGGTTTTTCCGGATAGAGTTGCCCTAAAATCAACGGCTGAGATTTCGATAAGACGATTTTTGACAAATATATAATATGCATGGGATATTCTTTTTCTGGAAGAAGCATGACTTCTAGGGTTTCCCTCGTATTAGGGCAATGCCAAAGGCGCGCGGAAGCGAGGGAACTCTCGGAGGCGCCAGGCGGTGACTGCGGCGCACGATCGCTGCTCAGGGTAGGCCAGGGTAGGATCGATAGATGAGATCGCTTCGGCAATAGCTGGGGCGGCGCTTGAGATTTTCTCGCAGCAGCGATGGCAACGCATGGGCCGGAGGCTTTGTTTGGTGGATTCCGTGGAGCTGACGGCTCCAGGCTCAGGAGAATGATGGATTCTTCTTCGTCACAGCGGCCTGTTCGTCCTCTCAGGAAGAGAGGCATAAGAGTGGTGGTGCTTGACGAGGATAAGAATGCTGGACGGGAGAAATTTGCTTGCTCGGATGAGGAGGAAGACGACGATTGTAAAATCACTGGCTGTTGGTTGCCTCCAAAGAGGCGCCAGTCGAAGAGAGTCGGCGCCAAGAGGCCTGTGAAGTGGAACTCAGCTGTAAGTGACCACACTGCTACTACCACTACTACTACTACTGTCGATCTCTCAGACTGTGAGGTGGAAATCGGTGCTCACAGTGACATACGCAAGCGGTGGGAAGAAGCCGCCGAGAAGAGAAAGAGGTATCAGTCTTTCCCGAAGGCAGGGAAAGCTGGCGATGGCGTTAGCGGTGCTCCAAGCGAGAGAAAGCACTCGTCAGGGGACGAGAGCGCATCAACTTCAAGGTGGAACATCAATGAGTCGGATGATGTTCACGTCCAGTCGATGTTTCACGATCAGGTGGAACCGGAAGTTGTGTTTAAGGAGCACAGACATACGAAGAAACAAGGCGCTGCCAATGGAACGTCTGGGGTGTACCAGGCGAAGGGAGAGCCAAGTAGCGGCAATAAGAATTTATTCAGCAGGGAGTTCAAGGAAGAATTAAGGAGGTGCCAGAGCCCGTTCTCCAATGGATTTGGAGACACGAGGAGAACACCGCCATTGAAGAAGGATCATGGAACCAATAGCGAGACAGCTACACAGAGCCTGGCCGAGAATTGTACACCCTCAAGTGATATCGTGACGGACAAATGTGGAGCGTCGGAGTTTATTGCCGATCGCGAGAAAGTCAAGGAGTCTGACGAGTTCAAGAAGGCTGACGAGGAGGAGTGGCAACGTCGGCAGGAAGAGCTTCAAAAACAGGTTGGCTTTTTCTTTTGCAGTTTATGGTTGTATGTAACGCTCGGCATCTTGTCTTGTTTAGGCACAAGAGGCCCAGAGGCTCAAGAAAAGAAAGAAAGCAGAGGCCGAGCGACAGCTAGCAATGGAAAGCAGGCAAAAACAACGAGTAGAACAGATTCGCGAGAATCAAATACAGGTAAAGCTCTCTTTTGTTCTTTTCTTTCTGGTCTTGGCTTTGTCGCTCACGTTGGCTCGGCGTTTTGCAGGAAATGAAGAACAATGGAATCAAGGAGTTGATGCGCGGACAAATTCAGAGCGAGCTGGAGCGAAAAGTTGCTGGCTGCCTGGACATGGCCACGGTTCTACATCGTCTTGGGATCGCTGTGGAGGGAGGGGTTCAATGTACTCCAGAACAGGCATGTCTTTTGTCATTTGCTCGTAAGGTGGCGCATTTTTTTCCCTTTGTTTAACATTGCTGCGAATCACTTGTAGGTGAATGCCGCATACAAAAAGGCTATCTTACGGTTCCATCCCGATCGAGCCGCCGCCACCGCGAACAATGATCCTCGGCGACAGGTCGAGGCCGAAGAGACATTCAAGCTCATCACAAAGATGAAAACATCCCTACAGCTCGTTCCTGCTTCCCTCAAGCCGCGCTCGGCTCGCAAGTGATAGGTCCGGGTAAACAGTGGCTAACACATATATACAAAACTTTTTTCTTCCAGTTGGAGTGTCTTTGGCCTACTTGCGCAGCTTGTCATTGTCTTTGTCAGCTGGCTTTGAGTGTCAAAGATTCGTGGCTGGATCCAGCTTTACTTTTATCAGATTAAAAGGGAAGTGGGGGTGGTAAGAAAGATCTTTGAGCTCTAAGAGTTTATTTTTTTCCAGGCCTCAAATATCTATGCAATCTATGACTTTGTCCATATGGGCTGACCTGCTGTTTTTGTTGTGTGCGAGTAAAGGTGGAGAGGCCGGGTTGGACTCCCTGTACGCTACTGGAAAATTTCCAACCTGAGCGAGCTACAGAGGCAGCAGCGAGCAGCAGTAGGAAGGTAAGCCTCCTTCAATGCTCTAGCTAGCTGTTTGTTTTTTCTTTTCTTTCCCTTCTTTCTTTGGTCCTCTGAATGCTGGACTACTAAACCATTTTGACGACTGGTCTCCTTCCAGGTGAACGGGAACGAACGAACGAACGAATGAACGAACGCTGCTCCCGTTTGGGGAATCGCGTTAATGCTGCTGCTGGGGGACGACTCGTGATCTCTCGCTCTCGCTCGCTCGCTGTCAAGGAGGTACGCTTTCTCGCGTTTCGACTTTTCAATTCTTTCTTACTTTCCTGGAGAGTGCGTCCTACGAATAGAGGAAGATCGTAGTCGTCTTGTTGGTGTTGTGAAGTGGTAGCTAGCGCAGTGTAGTTATTAGCTCGGGTACCAAGGAGATGTTTGGAGATGTTTGGTGATGTGATGGCATTTTGTTGTTTTGTTTGTGAGCGATGTTGAGTTGTGTGTTGTGTGTATGTGTGTGCGTGTAATGTCCGAGAGAGAGAGAGAGAGAGCTAGAGAGCTCCAGAGATTTGAATGACTGCGCAATGCACACATGCACGCTCACAGGTTTGGAAAAGTCCAAAACAGTGGTCTAAAGTGATGTTTGGAAAGGGCATTATTGGTGGAGCACAGTCTAAGTAAATGCCAACAATGGCTACTTGCATAGATGGAGCAGCGATTTTTTGCCCTCTCTCTTCTGGTGGTCAGATTTTCTTTGTTTGGAGTGAAAGCTTTTTTGATTTCTCAACTCACTAGGCCTGGTCGTTCTAGCTTTCGCTTTGGACGATTCGTCTCCATTTGTGTTCCCAATGATTGTAACATTTCTATGATTGTTTTGATTGACACTGTTCCCTTGCAAGGAGGGGTGTGTGTTTTTGTCAAGAGAATCGCATGCGTGTATGTATGGTGTTCTTCCAAGCCTCTTGGAAAACAATTTGTTTCCTTTTGTTTGTTTACTTTTTATGGGGATGCTGTTGAGATTGGATCGAATGGGAGCTTGTAAACATCCATATGCTAAAATACTTTTCTTTGTTTTCTCCAGGAAGGTTAGTTGGTTAGTGTCACTCACGAGATACAATGTGATATATTGCTGTTGGAAGGCTTCCACTTTCACACATCACCTCATAAGTTCGTATCCATCCATTTCCATCCAAGCATGCAATCTTGGGCCAATAAATTTATAAATCGCTAAGATCAGCCTCTATACAACTCCATGCTGCCTACCAATGACGTAGCAAAGCTCTGTAAAGTTCCAAAGCAAACCAATCCGGATACACTCAAATCCCTAAGAAAAAGTTTAAACACTTTATATAATTACAATTATTATTATAAATATTAATCTATTATTTGTTTTGAGTCGGTCAATGATCAAGCAAAAAAGGCCCATGAGATTTTTGGGGTGAAAACTTTAAAGAGAAGAGATCGCTCTTGGAGATCACATATCTATTTGTACTGGAGCACTCTAATGCTGCAGGTGACCCAGCCAAAGGGAATTAAAGTGGAGGATAGATCTTGTGTGCATGGATGGGTTGGAAAGTGTTTTGTGTGGAGTGGAAGTGGTAGGAATTTATAATTGGTGGCTGCTGCTGCAAAGTCAATTTCCTTTGCCCACATTCATGTAACTTTGCATCTCTCAATCATATATATAGCACCCCTTGTAGAATTTATGGAGTTCCTGATCAAAAGTATATAAAGAGCTTGACTTGTGCCCAACCCAGCTGTTGACATTGTCTTTAGACAGCAGAAGTATTCACTGGCTTTGACTTTTCACCACAGTGCAGGGATTTACAACTTGTAGCAAATAAAAAACACTACAGGGAGAGCCAGCCATCCAGCAAAGATTTCTAGTGTGTGTTGTGTTGTGGTTGTTTGAATCTTTTGCTTTTTGTTTCTTTCTTTCCAAGAAAATTTTCTCACTACTAGGAGTCCTTGTCTACTAGACTTTGGCTCTAATTCATAGACTAGAAGATCAAAAAAACATATGAAAGGAGTTTGGGGGGCATGTTTTTGGTATGCTCTCCCTCTAGAAATGACATGCACAACAGCACACCTGATAGCAAATAAAAGCATAAAAGCTCCATCCATTTCAATGTCAATACACATAATATTCGTCAACAATTGCAGGCAGGCAAGGAGGCACTGCTAAAGTAACAGCAGTAGCAACAGTGGGACTGGAAGAAAGCTACATTCTAGGAGTAAGAAGAAACATATACAGCCCGTATGTAATTATATTTGAGAAATAGAATATAAATTCCCAGTAAATCAATTAGTAACTTCTCTGTTCTCTTTCTCTCTGTTATGTTTGTCTAAAGTGCTCTTTTGAATGTTCAAACTTGCAGTACACTAAAGGTGTGAATGGTGGTTAATATGTTATATTAAGTAGGAAAGTGGTGGATCCAGAAACAGGCATCAAAAGAGGACAATGACTAGTCTCGGATTTATATATCAAAAAATATTATTTAATATTTGAAGAGAGGGAAGAGAGATTGACATCAAAATAAAATTTTGAGATCTTATTTTCCATACTAAATAAAAGTGTGCGTGCCACCACCGTACCCATCTAAAGCGTGAGGAGGAATCGATGAAAAACACACGCGCTCCTGAAAGGGTCCAGTCCAGTCCAGTCCTGGAAGGAAATCCTTACTACTTTCTCCACCACTGGAAAGAATTGAATTGAAGCTTCCAGTTTTTGCGATCGAAAGAGATCGCGTGTACGTATCCCTGTACGAGGGTCTACGTATATCACAGGGAATTTTAAAGCATCTTGAAGCGGTAGGCCGGACGCGTAGCTGCCAGTAGGTGGCGGTGGCCATAATTTAAGTTTTGGACAAGTGCATACAGATCTCTAGCTTAGCCATCTTCGGGGAAAGTGGCCAGTGGCCCATGTGACGGGTCACTGTGGCTCATGCAAACACTATCAGATACGGTAGGGCTTTTGGGCCACAGTGGTCCAAATCTCGGTAAACATTACAAGAATGTGGCGATCATATATGCGTGCCCAATGATTAAGAGTCATACGTAAGACAAAAAAGGCTCTTTTCTTTTTTCCCCAATTTTATTTTTATTATTTAGAGATCTTATATAATGAAAACGTATCATATAATCACAAGCGAAGTCTTTGGATTCGTGTAACTTTGATTATAATCTCAAGTGTTGGTCGTCTAAGCTCTTGGATTGTTAATTTACTGAATGGACCATTGGATCATGCCATGCAATGCTTGATCTATCATAGCTTCTAGACTTAAATCTCCATTCTCTCTTGTCTAAGTTGTTCCCAGCCAATATATATATGTCCCCTCCCTTATACTATTGCATTGCTCGATATAAAGAAGTGTTCTTGGCTATTTTCTGCTCGGCCTTGCGGTGGTTTTTTTCTCGACTAGTATAGAGCGTCGCAGCGGCGGCCCTTTCCCCTGCTCTTTCCTTGTTTAATTCGGCATAGATCCATCCCGTGATTCGCAAAATCGCTCTATCGATCCAACCACAAGTATATATATTGCGTGGCCAGTCCAATCCAACAAATTTGCTCGTAGCTCTTTTGTTTCTTTGTTGTTGTTGCTGGCTGCTGGCCAGGGTTTAAACTCTGCGAGCACTGCAAGGCCTTCCTGAGTGTGTGTCTCAGTGAAAGAAGAGAGAAAAAAAACTCCACTCCACTTCTCTCCACGCATAGATACAGCCGGAGTGTGTAAAGCTAGTTTTTCGAATAGTAGTAAGCAGCAGTAGAAGAGGAAGAAGGAGAAGGAAAGAAGAAGAAGAAGAAGAAGATTTATATTGTTTTTGCTTTGGGAAAGGCAAGCCATGGTGGCAATTGTGGCGAGTGTTTTTGCGTTAGTGGCGATGGTGGCTGGAATGTGGGATGCTTTGTCTCAATGGGGCATTTTGATATCACTCGCGAGAGCTTGGAGGCGCGAGAAGAATGCAAAGCTTCCAAGAGGCAACTGGTGGCTTCCCTGGCTTGGAGAGAGCCTCGACTTCTTCTGGAGGAGCCCTGACGATTTCTACAAGACAAGATTCTCAAGGTCCATTGTCAAAGTTCCAACCTTTTCTCAAGAAAATCTTCTCTCTCCTGATGATCTTCTTCTTCTTGTTCTTCTCTCTGTCTGGATGGTTTCTTTCGAATTCTCATGTTGGAATTTTGGTGGTGGCACAGATACGGGAGTATCTTCCTGTCACACATATTTGGGAGCACGACTATTGTGACATCAACTCCAGAGGAGGCCAAATTCATACTTGGAACTCGCCACAAGCTGTTTCGTGCCAAATACCCGACCTCAATCGACCGGGTGCTCAATCACCCCTTTTGGGAGGGCGATTTCCACTGCCGAGTCCGCAAAATTGTCCAAGCCCCCATGATGCCCGAGGTGCTCAAATCCCAAATCTCAAAGTTTGATAGCTTGGCAACTTGGACTCTAAACACATGGTCTCACGGTGATCATGTGATCACACATGCCGAGACTCGAAAGGTATAGTCTTTCTAAAATCCATCCTCGGCTCCACGATTCCATATCCCAAAGTTCCCTCACGAATTCTTTCTCCTTTCGATGATGCACGAACTTAAAGAGAAAAAAGTGGGTTTTAGCTGGCATTGTTCTTTTCCCATTCATCATCCTCGTAGAAGGATTGATCGAGTTTCACGAATGCAAGAAAATAATGCATTGATTTAGTTTTGATGTTTGGCTGCAGTTCTCGTTCCATGTCGCGCTCTACTTGGTTTGCAGTTTGGAGCCATCCGCGGAATCTATGAAAATGCTCGACGACTACGAATGTGTTGCGAAGGGAGCGATTTGCTTCCCGCTCAACGTCCCAGGAACAGGATTCCACTTGGCTCTCAAGGTGAAAACCATATTCGATTACATTATTTCATTCGTTCTCACATATATTATTCTTAAACCTTGACAGAAGAGCAAGGTCATACTCGAAGCACTGGACAATATCATCGCCCGGAGAAGGATGGAGAGAAGCGTCCACAACGATATATTGAGCTCGCTCCTCAACTCCAGCGATGAAAACGGGATCAAACTCACCACCGACCAAGTCAAGAATGTTCTCATCACTCTCCTCTTTGCGGGGCACGAGACGACGGGGGTCTTGCTCGTTTGGATCGTCAAGTACTTGACAGAGAATCCTCAAGTTCTCCATTTGGTCAAGGTAAATAATTTCCATCCATTTTAATTCTTTTTTTTTGTATATTTTTAAAAATATTTTTCTTTCCAGGAGGAGCAAGAGATCGTCAGGCAGTCCATGGCCGATGACAAGCAGCCGCTGACGTGGGCAAATGTACGAAACATGCCGTACACGCTCAAGGTATTTAAAGGGATCACTCTTGTTTGTTGGAACTTATGCCTCGCCCGAATCGTATCTAAATCTTGTGAGAAAACAAATGCAGGTCGTCCAAGAGACCCTTCGCCTCGCAAACGTCGCACCATTCTCTCCACGGGAAATTCTCGAGGACGTGGAATATAATGGTATCAAAAACCTTCACTGCAATACACTAGTATACTTATTTGTTTCTCTTTTTTGGCTGCTTTAGGCATCTTGTTTCCCAAAGGCTGGAGGGTACAAGTGTATTATCGCCACTTCCATCTCAATCCAGAGTACTATAAGGAACCTCTAAAGTTTGATCCATCTAGATTTGAGGTAAGGAAGAACATCATACTCAATACCTGTTGAATACTAATTCTTGTATACTAAATTATCATTGCTCTCTTTGTTGTAGGTGCCCCCAAAGCCAATGGTGTACACTCCATTTGGGAATGGAATAAGGCTTTGCCCAGGGAGTGAGCTTGTAAAGCTGGAAGTACTGATTTTCATTCACAGGCTGGTGACAAACTACAGGTATAATTTGGTTTTAACTTTTATTTAAGAGAAAAAGTGAGGAAAATAAAGAATTTTGAGCACTTCTTTCTTTTTGGTCAGTCAAAGCTTTGACTCCAACTTGGTTCTGATCATTTTCTTTCCCTCTTTGGTTTTTCAGCTGGCATGCAGTTGGAGCTGACAAGGGAATTCAATACTGGCCAACTCCCAGACCAAAAGGTGGCTATAAAATTAAGGTCCACAGCCATGCCCACTCATCATTCTCACAAGAGCAACTATAATAGCTAGATCCAGTTCAAGGACCAATGGGAGAGAAAAGAAAAAGGCCAAAAAAACGAGGAGAGAAGCTTCTTACGATTGATCGATAGATTTTTCGGTAGCGAAGATCAGTTCGCCGCTCGATTCGTTCCGTCTAGGCTAGAGAAAGAAACTTGGAAACAATAATCCCACTGTAAGTAAGAGGAATTCAAAGAGGCCAGGCGAAAGCAAGCCTGGAAGTTTGAGTCTCATCATCTCGGGGAAAAGAAGAACCAAACATAGAAAAAAAGGAAGAAATAGGCCAGACCTCAAACTGGAATCAATGACGCGAAGGCAGCCACCAGTGGAATCCATGTGGTTGCTGCGTTCTTCAGACACCAACATGGTACCATTCTTTAATCTTTATTCGCTCGTTCTCTCCTTTTTTTTTTGCCTGGCTGAATCGAAGGACACACCAAGTTGGCCACTGAAAGCAAAGGAGTGGAAACGTTTCTGAGATTGAGGTGACAAAGCAGCAAACAGGGAATACGCTGTCTTTGTTTTTCCTTACGACGTTGTTGCCAGGGACGAGTTTTGGATCAAGCGGTAGTACAGCAGCAACATTGTCGCAATGCAAGACCTGGAAAATGGAGTGAGAGGAGGAAAAGGAGAAGAAGGCCCTGTGTCATAACTTACAGGATCGCAAAAACGAAGAGGATGTTTCTCGGATCAACGGTTGAATGCCGGTGATGGCGACGACGAGAGTGAAGCTCGCCACGGTCTTCATCGCCATCTTTCCGCAGGTTGGGATTTGTCACTGGCAAAGTTGGCAATGCGGGGGACCAAAACGGTAGGATGTGCGTCAAAAGTTGCTTGTAGAAGGGCCCTGGTGGAATCAATCAATCAAAAAACGAATTTCCTTCGAGCAGAAATCCAGCTTACCACGACGGGCATATTTTCTACTGATTGCGTCCTCATCGTCACCATCATCGTCGATGTAAGGCATTGATCCTATGACAACCTTCTCCGGCCGGTAGGAATTTTTCCTTGCTAGAGAATTTGCCTGGAACACACGCAGAAAGAATCAGTGAACAGGAAAGCAAAAGACAGGGAAAGCCTGACCATTTGGGACGAAACATTGGGAGATGGCGAAGTATTTGCAGAGGTGGAGGCCACTGGAGCAGTAGATGACGGCTCATCCACAGCAGATATCTCGCTCACTGTCGAGACAGGTTGGTGGCCTTCAAGCGCGCTCTTCTCCGGGATCCCGATGGTAGAGACGAGAGGCATGGACGAAAACGCTGCCGGTGCGGCATCCGGATTCGTCAAGTCACCTCCCAGCAAAGTTCCTGCGAGGCCAGCCTGCAATGTCACAGTTTTTATTCTCAGTTAGAGACAGAATTCGAGAATTTGCAAAGAGTTACCTGTGCTATCGCTTCCCTGAGTTTCAAAGGAAGACCAACGTTGAAGTTTCGAAAGTTCTTTGGCGGTGGAGGCCAAAGCTGATTCAAACGAGTCACAGCTTAAACCCATAGCTTACGAGACCGGAATAAAAAAAAAGAAATTCTTACCGGCAAGCCACACTCTGGACATCCATAACCAGCCGGAGCTGTATGATCTGGGAAGCTCTTGAGGTGTGACTCCAAGCAGGAAGAATGCAAAGCATCTGTAGAAGAGAAGCTCGCGTTAAGTCGAAGCAAAGACAAAAGAAGAAGAAGAAGAACTCACGTAGACATCCCAGTCTGGACACCGCTTGATCTTCACGAAGCTCCTCATCGCAAACGCTACATTTTGGAGGCCACGAGTAGTCAGGGTCGATCACCCACTCGGGATAAGTTCGCACCTAAAAGATTCCCATCACAACAGCCGCTGTGAGAAGAGATCGCTAGCTGGAAGAGGAAAAATCGATCTACAGAGCTCGCGCGCTCACTCACTCACTCACTCACCACGCAAATCTTGTGCTGATCCGCGCACACGCATTCACCGCAGAGCGCGAGAGAGTGGCAATAGCAGTAGATTCGCGTGGCCTGCCGCGCCCCTGGATGGATTGAGTTAGAGATCCTCGCAGAACGAGGACAGGACTCACCTTGCGGCACGCGCAGACCACCATCGCGGATCGCCGATCGCCGATCGCCCTAGAACGCGAAACCCTAAAGAGCCCTAAAAACAGAGCATTTCAAATGTTTACTTTTCCAAGGGCTCTAGATCTTGGAATTTTAGGGCTAGGCTAGGGTTTGGGCAGAGAAGGGGGAAAGGAAGATGATGGAAGGCGCCGTGGAGGCAGATCCAGTGTCCACTGCTGCGCAATGGCGGAGCTCCGTGTCGCGCAAGCTCCAGCAGGTGTTGGATCGATGGACGCCATTCCCGATGTGGCGCTGGCTGGGGACGCTGGTGGCGGCGTCGATCTATGGCATCAGGGTGTACTACCTGGAGGGATTCTATGTCATCACGTACGCTCTGGGGATCTATCTTCTCAATCTCCTCATCGGATTTCTCTCGCCGCAAGTGGATCCCGAGTACGAGGGCCCGGTTTTGCCGCACATTGTCAAGGAGAGCGATGAATTCCGGCCGTTTATGAGGAGGCTCCCGGAATTCAAGTGCTGGTAAGCTGGAATTCTTCTTCTTTTGTGCGAAGAGTGTCATCTTTGCTCGATTCCTTGCTCAAGGTCTGATTTTTTCTCCATCTTCTTGCAGGTATGGTTTGACGAGAGCTATCGGCATTGCTTTCGTGATGACCTTCTTCCCGATATTCGACGTTCCAGTGTTTTGGCCAATCCTGGTGATCTACTGGGTCGTGCTTTTGTTCCTCACGATGAAGAGACAAATACTTCACATGGTGAAGCATAGATACATTCCATTCTCCATCGGTAAACAGGTAAAAACCATTTTATTTTCCTTCCGTCTCGTGGAGTAAAAGTCTGATTTTTTTTCTCGTTTCGTGTTGTTTTGGTTGATCCACAGCGCTACAGCGGGAGGGCATCGTCTTCTGACAAGGCAAGCACTTCTACAGATTAGAAAAAAAAAATGGTACCCAAGCTCGAAAAGAATGCATTTCGATTCATTCATTTCATTCGCTCGCCAGTCTTAAACCAGTCTTAAACCATAGCTTTCTCTTTCTTTCCAGTGACAACCAGCCGATCTTACATCGAGTTTTTCTTGCTTTGGCTCTCAGGAGGAAGACCATCCCGAGACTCCCAGTTTTGATGAATCTAATCACGATGACGACCAGGCCTGATTGATCGATCGCTCGATCCATCCAATCTTCTCCCGCGAGAAGATTAAACATGGATCTCTTTTGTAAAGCTGTGCTTCTATAGGAGAGAGGAGAAGCTCCACTTTCACTCTCGCTTCTATCTGTTAGAACAAAACCATAGTTTTGACGCTCTTAAGTTTCGAGCCCCGGACCGACATCACGCTGCCTACGTGGAACAGCGACCTCTGTACGGCACCAATGGGGCGCGAGCTCTTCGTACGGAGCCTTGGAGGAAAGCGCAGCATAAATTCCAATGGAGGCCGGACTGTTTATCCGCCGCGACGAGAGCTCACAGGCAAGTTTAAAGTCGGTTGTTTTGAGGTGAATCCATGCATAAAAGTCCCTCTTTTGGTGGTTTTCTTCCAGGCAGGAAGAATGGCGGCTCTAAGTTGCGGCTTTCACTTGTCCGGATCTTCGCCCTCGTCGTCGCAGCTCGCGAGAAGAATGCTGGAATTCAGTGGCAGGACGAGAATCTGGCTGAGGAGGAGCTCCTTTGCGCAGGTATTTGTTTCTCTCCTCCATTCCTAGCTACCAAAGTTCCTTTTCTTCTTGCGTTCTTGCTGGCTATGGTGACAGAGTTTATCGGAAACTTACAGGCACAGCCAAAGACGTCGGCTCCTCGGCCCAGCGTCATCAGGGCGTTCTTGGTTTCCGACGATCGAGCAAGATCGAAGAGCTCTCCTGCGCCTTCTTCCGGCAAGAGCAGTAATCTATCGGCTTTGCGAGTGAGTCAGCTCAAGAGAGTTTTAGATGCAGGCGGTGTGGATTACCGTGACTGCCTCGAGAGAAAGGAGCTCGTCGAGAGGCTGGAGAAGACCAAGAACTTCATTCCTCCTGCTGCGAAGAGGCTGCTGCAACAATACCTCGAGGGCGCTGAGCCTCCGCCGCATCTCTCTTACGAGCTCCTCCATGGCTCTTCACCCCCTGTAGAAGGTAAGTCTTTTTCTTTAGCCATAGTTTTTTCTTTTGTTTGCTTGCGTGAGGCACGACTTTGCTCGACGTGTTTATCTGTTTGGAGGTTAGACTTGTTCGCAGTACGACTTTGGACTCAAAAATTCTCTTTTTTCTCACAGATTGGTGGCTGGACGCCGAGAAGAACAGCATAAAACTCTTCCAAGACTGCAGCCCCTCCGTGGCTCACATCACAACGCTTCGACTCGGCAAAGACATGTCGATGAATCCCGTTGAGATCCCTCGAGGAACTGGCAGCGGATTCGTGTGGGACAAAGATGGTCATATCGTCACGAACTATCACGTCACCATGAACGGCGAACGAGCTCGAGTAACACTCTCAGATGCCAGCACTTGGGACGGAACTCTGGTTGGATATGCGAAGAACAAGGACCTCGCAGTGCTCAAGATCTCGGCACCGCCATCCAAGCTAAAACCAATCAGCGTTGGTACTTCACAGGTGCTCCTCACTTCTTTCTTGTTTTCTTGTTTTTCTTCCCAGTTCTTGACAGTTTCTACTTGATCCAGGGACTCCAAGTTGGCCAACACGTACTCGCGATTGGAAATCCTTTTGGACTCGACAGAACACTCACGAGTGGAATTATCTCCGGTGTCGGCAGAGATATCAGAAGCATCGGTGGAAGGATCATTCGTGGTGTGATCCAAACCGATGCTTCGATAAATCCTGGAAACTCTGGAGGGCCTTTGCTGGATTCACAAGGACGACTGATAGGCGTGAACACTGCGATTTACTCGCCGACCGGGGCCAGCGCCGGTGTTGGCTTTGCGATCCCGGTGGACACCGTGCGAAGGGTGATAAACCAGATTATTCGCGATGGGAAAGTTGTGAGGCCGGGCTTGGGGATTGTTTGTGCGAGTGAGAGCCAGACGAGGCAGCTGGGAGTGACTGGAGTTTTGGTGCTGGGATTATCTTCAAACGGTGCTGCTGCTCAAGCGGGTTTGAAAGGTTTGTGAGACACACAACTTTGGTGGTTTTTTTTTGTTTTTTCCATCTTAGAAACTTCGGTTTCTTTGCGTGGCAGCTACGTCAAGAGATGAGAATGGAAGATTGGTTCTTGGAGACGTCATCGTTGCTATCAATGGCGAGGTTCGTGACAAGTCTCTTTCTCTCCTTGTTTAAAGTTATCTTTCTTCGCAGGCCGTGAAAACCGTGGAAGATCTTCTCGCACTGATCGACGAGCGCTGCATCGAAGAAGTCGTGAGGGTAAGCAGCTCTAAATTCTCCTCACTCCTCTCCAATTATACTTCGCTTCCAGGTGAGCGTCAAGAGAGGGAGCTCCATACAAGACTACTACGTAACACTCGAGGAGCTAGAAGAATAAAAGAGATCCACGAAATGGAAGAAGAAAAAAAGGAGAAACCTTTGTAAGATACTATCACGTTGTAAAGAAAGACCGAGCAAAAAAATGGAGAAAAAAAAAGATTTTTGCTGTAAAAAAGAGTGTAGTTTTGTGAAAAAGAGAGTGTAGAGATAGAGAGGAGAGAGCCTGTAAATTATCACTTGCCCTGTGAGGTAGAGTCAGAGGCTGTGGTAGCGGCGGCGGCGGCGACGGTGGTGGCAGTGGTGGCGGTGGTGGTAGCGGCGGTAGCTGCAGTAGCGGCGGCGACGGAGAAGCCCGAGTGGTGGGAGTTGGCGGCGGCGGTGGCGGCAGCGGCAGCGGCGCTAGTGGCGGCGGCGAGAGCAAAAGCTTCGTGTATGTGCGCGAGCTGGGCCTGGAGACACGCCACCCTTTGCTGGAGCACGGAGATGACACCGACGCAGCCATAGATTGGATCTTTCACTCGCATGTCCGCCTCGTACGCCAAAGTGTTGACGCAATCCTCGCGGAAGCAGACGGGGAGCTCGTTGAGCATCTTGCTCACGTTGGAGACGCCGAAGACCTTGTGAACGTTGGCGAAGCGCTCGGGCTGGTCCGGCGGGAAGTATGGCGCGAACAGGCACTCGGGCGTGCAGCGCCGCCGGAGGTTTCGGCAAGCTGCGCAGGCGGAGGTGGCGCTCGACTGCTGGTGGTGGTGGTGGTGGTGGTAGTGGTGGCTGTGGTGGTGATTTTGAGTTTGGTGGTGATTTTGGAGGTGGAGGGAGAGATTTTGGTGGTGGGAGGAGAGATTTTGGGGGTGACTTTGGAGATTTTGGTGGTGGTGGTCGTGCCGCTGCTGCTGCTGCTGCTCCGACATCTTTTTTTACTTTGTCTTTTCATCCGACTCCCGGCATTTTGCGCGACCAGCTTCCGCAGCTTCAGTTGAAATGTCAGTTGATTGGCCACTGAACAATAACCGTTTCAAAGCCTTCGTTTTTCCCTCTTTTTTGTTTACTTATGCTGATTTGTAATTATAATTTCACTTTAATTCCATTCTATGAAATAAATAAAACTACATTTGCTCAGTCACAGTAGCAGTCACAGAAGATATTGGTGATATATCAATGTATTCTGCCACGTCATCTGATTATACAACATAAAGAAACTTCAGTTTTTACGAAAGCCCTATTTCTTGGTGCTTTGTATATCAAAATTGTATGTTTTTACAGTTTAGTTACAAAATTGCATGTAAATGATCTCTGAATGAATAGTTTGCCATACTTTATTCACACATCACAATTTAATCTTTTTTGGCTCTATCATTCTAATGTTTAATATTATTTCCCAAGTTTTGGCTGCTGGAAAACCAATTTTAAACTCATCTTCCTTGCTTTTGCTTGATCCTGGAGCTTTTTCATTGTCAATTCGTGTTGTGAACTTGATAAATTCCTCATTACCCAAGGATGTTTCTTCACTTTCCGCAAAGACAGCCTCTTCTCAGAGTCCATGTTGAGCAAATGCAAAATAAGTTTCTTAGCTTGGTCACTCATACTTATCCAGTCAAAAGGGCTTGTTGACAAATTTTTCAAACATCTCAATCTCTTCTCGATTTCCCGTGATGCCAGCTTTGGAAATGCACACTTCCCAGACAACATTTCATAAAGGACAATCCCCACACTCCACATGTCAACCCTCTCATCATAAACACAGTCAGGAGATGACATCTCAGGAGCCTTATACCTCTATGTCCTAACCATCCCCCTCATGATTATACCTGGTGGAGACCCCTTCTTTGAAAACCTTAATGATGTTCCAAAGTTTGCCAATTTTACATTCCCAACAAAGCTCTTCCCAAACCCTAGAAGGATGTTTCCAGGCTTGATATCCCTGTGAGCAATGCCCCTCCTATGCATCTTGTGCACTGCCTTGGTCATATGCTTGATCACAATTACAGCTTCATGCTCGTTAAGCCTCTTTTTTTTTAGTAGTACATCCTTTAGCAAGCACTGGCACAACTCCATGACAAGGTGGTAGTAATCCTCATCCTTGAAAACCTCCACAAGCTCAGGTACCATGGCTCCACTATTGCTCTTCGTTTTATGGTTACTTGATCAATGATGGTTGAGAGATGCACCAGTGCCTCGATCTCCACCTCAGCTTCCTCTCGCAGGCCTTCATTCGAGAGTGTGTCATCGATGATTAAATCCTTGCTTGAGTAGTTGCTAATTCAAATTGACTTACATGCGAAAAACTTACTGTCTGCCTTGCATTTAATCTTATACATGATAGATTGGCCACCACAACCAAACTCTTCCTCAACAGTATAAAAATTGTTTATATCACTAGCAAAATACTCTAACAAAAAGGATTGTGTAAACCCTAATAAAAGGATTACCCTAACAAAAAAGATTGCGTAAAGGCAAATATATTTCTCCATTAGTCTGAGGATACTTTAAAAATAAAAAATATATTTCTAGACAATAAATAACTTTTAATTTTCTAGAAACCCGCGGGGGACCCATGCTTCCTGTAGTCACTGACGCCAGTGATCCTCCCAAAGTAGACAGTGCTGTTATTAAGAGAGGGCTTGTGATTTATGGCCGGGACGTGAAGATCGTGGAGGACGAGCTGCGTGACGCAGTAGCCTGTCGTCTCCACAACCTTGTGCTGCCTCGCTGACAATCCATCTCTGATCACCTCTGGAACTTCCACGAGCTCGTTTGTTACCAGCGTCCAGTCCTCGCATTCGACCTCGTTTGGGACAAGCTGCAAGGCAAACAAAGAGAAAAGTTTCAGCGAGGAAGAGAAACGTTTTCCTTCCCCGACCTGGTGGTGGACGCGCGGAGTCGTGACCGAATGCAAGGCGTCCTTGCCACGAACGAAATAGTTTAGAAAGACTTGAGCAACGCCAGTGATGATTTTAATGCCGCCGCTTGCCCCTAGCACGGCTCTCAGCTGTCCATCCTGCATTGTTTAAGTCAGAGATGGCGTTTCGGGCATACAAAGGCTAAGAGAGAGCATTTACCTGCAAAACTATAGTGGGGGACATGGATGAAAGTGGTCTCTTGTTGGGGGCGACGAAGTTCACTTCGGCCGGAGGAAATTCGCCTCGCACCACGGCTTTCGGAACAGCAAAATCGTTCATTTCGTTGTTCAGCAAGATACCCGTGGATTTCGAAAGCAGCATGGATCCAAATCGCCAGTTCACCGTGGTAGTCATTGACAACGCATTCCGATCCTGGTCGATGATTCCAAAATGGCAAGTGCCGTGATCAACCAGTTGGTTCCATCTATATTGATCAATGCACCTAATGGTCAGCAAAAGAAACGGAGAGAAACTTTCTGCTTACTTGCTTCCATAGTGCTCTGGCCCAAAGGTTGTGTTATCCAGAATAGACGTGTAAAGCTTCACGGCAAAGTCGGGAGAAAGCATGTCTTGCATTACACGCGAGATGTTGGCAAAGCCCGGATCTCCAAGGTTCATTCGCACCGCGTAGGCGTGCTTGAAAGCCTCGACGAGCCGGTGGTAGAATAAATCATCCGGCACAGAAGCGAGATCGTCAAAGTTGGAGAGGATATTAAACACCTGCACGTCAAGTGTGAGCAAAGAGACAAAAGAAACATTCTATAAAAAAATGGAAAGATACCAGTGCTAGCGTAGCCCCTCCCGAAGATGGAGGAGGCATTCCAAGAACAGTGAGTCCCATAACATCGCTTGTCACAGCTTCTCTAACGGCAGTTTCGTAGTCTCGCAAGTCGTCAATCGTGATAATTCCTCCAGCTGCTTGGACGTCCGCTGCTAGCTTCTCGCCGATAACACCACCGTAGAGAACACCCGGCCCTTCGTTGGCAATCAGCTCCAGCGTCCTGGCCAGCTCCTCGTTGCGAAGAACATCACCAGCTTTCACCAGCTTCCCATTCGGCGAGAGGAACTGTCGAAGCGTTCTGTGGGCTAGAATCCCCTTGAGACTCTGAGCAATCTCAAATTCCAGGTAAGCTGTTACCACGAATCCATCCCGGGCTAGCTTGATGGCCGGCTCGAAGAGCGATTTCCAGGGCAGCCTTCCAAAGTGCTGCCACGCGAGGTGGAGTCCAGCGAGCTCGCCAGGAACTCCCGCGGACAAAGCACCATCGACTTTAGAGGATGGGTTCTTTGCGTACATGTCCTGGAAAAAAAGAGAGAGGAGTTCTTCGTGGATGGAATGCAATGAAAGAAAGAAAAAGAATTCCAAGTACCTTGGATGCCGCGGCTGGGGCGGTCTCGCGCATGTCATAGGCGATGGCGGAGCCATTGGCGAGTCGCAGGAGCAAGAACGCGCCGCCGCCAATGCCACTGGACATGGGATTGACGACGCCCTCGCAAACGGCCGTGGCCACGGCAGCGTCGACCGCATGGCCGCCCCGGGCAAGCGCATCCCTTCCGACGATGGAGCAGCGCTCGTCGTCCGACGCCACGACGCCATTGTCCGCCTCGCAGATCTGGCCGCCGCCGGCGCTCGCTAGCGATCGTATTGGCGATGGCGCCAGAGAGTCCCTCGCATCGATGATCTTGACACCAAGAACCACGATCGCGATGGTAGAAACAGCTGCGACCACATTCCAGACAGATATTTCGATGGAAATTTCGACCAGGAGCAACGAATCTCTCCATTCTTACCAGCGACAAGCACGCCAAGAACAGTGAAAATCCTCGGTCGCTTGGAATCCATGAGAGATCGGCTCGCGCGAGCTTGGATTCCTCGCTCGCCAAGGAGCGCCTCGTCCATTGCTCGTCACATGCAAGGCAAAAAACTTTCTCACTCAAATAGGGCCTTTCAAGTTGGACTTACAAGGTCTCGAGTTGAATCACGAGGACAAATAAGATCTCAAGTTCGATTCTCGAGAAAATTTCCGGAGTAGTTCCCTATGCTTGGTCGTTTCTCTAGAGAAATTTTTAATGTTCTTGGTCGTTCCAAATTAGTAACATGTTTTATTTGGTCTGGCCATTTATCGTTGGCGTCCGAAAGCTTTGGATAAGCTGATATCACAGGAGACGACATTGAGCTCCAGCATGGAGTCGCCAATGCAAGGTACTTATGGTTTTATATTCTTGCTGATGCCTGGGAATGGATGTTCAGGAGCACAAACAAAGGATTATAAACTTCATCGTGCCAGCAGTCATACTTTTGGCTCTTGCTTGCATCTAGCGATTTGTAGTTTATTCTCATAAAAATCACTAGGGATTAAGATGAACAAGCCACTTCAGTTACATGTGCTTCAGTGCCGCTCGAGGTTTTCACAGCGTTTTTGAGCTGGAATGAGAAGATTCTCCTCCAAAAAGCAAAGCAAAAGCCGACCATTTAGCCCTAGGGGAAAAAGATTGGAGATGAAGATGCGGCAAGGTGGCAAGCGCAATCGCGGTCGTCTTCTGTGGCAATTTCATCTTTGTCGCTCTTCCCTGCGCACCGGAGTTTTATCACAAGGTTTGCTGGAACTTGGAGGCCAGATCCTTGTACATGTTCTGCTAGCAACGTCAAAAAGAACAGAAAACAAGCAAGGAAATATTATTTCCAGCGCAGGACCTTCCTCGTAATCTGTTGCAAAGATCTTCCACGCCTGATTGACTGCATCCACCCGCCTCTTCTTGTTCTTGCTTGTTGCCCCATTGTCTATTTCCTCTGACATGGGAAAGTTTTGTAAGAGTCCACCAGATGCATGCATGAATAAACAGCAGACCTTTGTTGTTCCTGCAATTCGAATGGAAATCAGCATAAAAATGGAAAAAAAAAAAAACAAATCTACCAAGCTTTGCAAGAACAAATAGAATCAGAATCACTGGCATGTAAGCTCTCCAAATAGAAAGAAATTATAGAACGAAAGTGCTGCAAGCTCAAGGCAGAAAAAAAAATTTCCAATAAAAAACAAAGAAAACAAAAGAAAAAGCCGTACATCATCTCTTGCAAGCAGTCTTGCTCGATCGGATGGTGTTCCAACAAAAATATCCAAAAACCTAGCATGCTCATAAAGAATTGAAAGAAGCTTATTTGATGTAAGAGTTGGGATCAAACAGATCTTCCCGTTTCCTTTGGCATGTATGATCTTCTTGATCTCACAATTCACGTATGGATTTCAGGAGTGAGAAATGCTGGAAGAAGCTTGGAACTTGTCCTCCATCATCCAGAGAGTTGTGTTTTTTGGTCACCACTATCCTAGAAAGTGA